GGGCTGAAAAACAAACAAACAAACAAACATAAACTAATTAAATAGAAATCAAACGAACGATTGAATTTGATCTTTTAACCCATTTTATTAGATAATAAAGTATATATATATTAAAGAATTAATTAAAGTATTATAAATCAGACATATTATGTACATTTTATACCTGCAGTAAAGATGTGCGGCTTCCCACACAACTACAACGAGCAATGGCAGCAGAAGCTGAAGCCTCGAGAGAAGCACGTGCCAGAGTGAGTCTATTTCACCTCATTACGTTAACGTGAATCAATTAAAAGGTTTGCCACACATTTTGGTTGCTAGGACTTGAGTTTTCCATCCACCCCACTTGTACTTTTTGATATTAGAAGGTATTCTAATGTTGTAGATTCTGTTATTTGGTAACTAAAGTAAAAAAAAAGCCTTAACTTCTTTGTCACAAAGACAAAAGAGTGCCGATACCAAATGTCTCATTGTTCTTGACAATAAATATTTCAATAATTTCAGTTGATTGCCGCTGAAGGCGAACAAAATGCCTCGAGGGCGTTACGGGCAGCTTCCGAGGTGATTGCTGGTTCTCCCGCTGCTCTCCAGCTTCGTTATCTACAGACTCTAAACGCTATATCTGCCGAGAAAAACTCTACCATTGTCTTCCCCATACCCATGGAATTGTTACGAGGATTCGCCAACAAGGCTTAACAGTTTCATCACGTGGAACGGCGGGAGCTCTACGTCCATTCATAGTTACGAACCTTTTTATATAAAGTAGATGATCAAGAGAGACCACCAAACGTTTATTAAATGGAAACCTTTGTAAATAAGAGAGAATTATTTAAAGATGTTTAAAAACACTGCTTTATCATAACAGACACTGTACAGAATACATCTATAGGATAGATTATTTACTGTACATTCTACATGCAAGTTATTGTGAAATTTGTAGAGAATGACGCACTGTGTTTTACCATATAACTAACAGGTTATGAAATTACTTCGTTAGTAACTACAAGCATGAATAAATTAAACAAACAGGTATGGTAAAACTTATAGCAGAGTGCTCTTCTCAGAAGTTCTTTCTTAAGTTCTTCACACTCTGAAATAAAGTGACATAAGTTTGTTTGAAAGTTGAATTACTGTTTAACATCATAAATGAACTGTTATAAGTTTGTTTGAGAGGTGAGTTACTGTTCAACTTCCTAAATGAACTGTTATAAGTTTGTTTGAGTGTTCGGTTACTGTTTAACCTCCTAAATGAACTGTTATAAGTTTGTTTGAGAGGTGAGTTACTGTTTAACCTCACAAATGAACTGTTATAAGTTGCTTTGAGTGTTCAGTTACTGTTTAACCTCCTAAATGAAGTGTTACACGTTTGTGTGAGAATTGAGTATTGTTTAAACGCCTATTGAATCATTATAAAGTTACTTGAAAATTGAGTTATTGTTTAACCTCTTAAATGAAGTGTTATGAATTTATTTGAAAACTGAGTTGTTGTTCAACTTACTACATTAAGTGTTATAAGTTTGACCGGGTTCGAACCCGAGACTCCCAGATTGCGAGTCGAGTACCCTAACCACCAGTCTTGGCTCACTTGATGTGACTGGATAACTTTTGGTCATGACTTCACTTGACGTGACTGGATAACTTTTGGTCATGACTCACTTGATGTGACTGGATAACTTTTGGTCATGATTCACTTGACGTGACTGGATAACTTTTGGTCATGACTCACTTGATGTGACTGGATAACTTTTGGTCATTACTCACTTGATGTGAGTGTATAGCTTTTTTTCATGACTCGCTCGTTATGACTGGATAGCTTTAGGTCACGACTCACGCGATGTGACTGGATAGCTTTTGATAAATTGTGTCAGTAATTTCTATCCACCTAAATAGAACATGTTCAGATGTAGACAAACACATATATTTCTCTGTTAGTATTTTTTACATGTTAAAGTTAATTATTATTTGACTTGTTGGTTTCTGATTTCTCGTACTTGAGAAACGACATTTTTTTTGTCTTGCTTATAACTAATTATTTCGACAACACAGAAATATTGGTTCATAGTTTAATCGAAAGTTGTGTTCGATTAGAAAGCAAGCAAAGAAAAGGGGAGGGCGTGTCACGTGCTGCCTGTTTGTTCTGACGTCAACTAACCTGGCAAGGATTACAGTTTCTTCAATAGCACATCTGTGCATGTGTGACGTGTTATATATATATATTGAGTTTTCATTGTTAAGTCTTCATGTCTAACACATGTACACTGTATACATATTTAACCCCCCACCCCCAGCGTCTCAGCGGTAAATTTGCAGATTTTTGACGCTAATATTCGGGTTTTGATACCCGTGGTTGGCACAGCGCACGTGGAACTTCGTGCTAAACAAGAAACAAGCGAAACATCGCTGTTAAACAGAATAATTTATTTATTTTTTTCCTGTATGTTTGTTTCTACACTTATACGTCTTTTGTGTCGTATAATGTGAAGCCATTATCTTGATAGAACAATACAGTGGCCTGTTGACCGAGAAACTCCGCCACAGAGCCTGGAACTCGGTTAATTTAAGAGTTATTGTCACTGAGGAGAGTGAGGGGGAGCGTTTCAAGAAACTGAGCTTCGTCGTCTTTGGTATGAGCATGTTATACATTGTTCTAGACACACACGTGCTTGGTTTCAAGTGATAACAACCCACACAGAGCACAGATCCAAATTTAGAGAATATCTTTGGAGTCATCTTCAGGGGACCACATTGAAAGACCTACCCCCCCCCCCCTCAGCCTTCCTGTCATTATCAACCTGGTGTAAGCTTTTGAACTAACGATGGTTAAAATAGTCAACAGACGCTAGTTTCAGGAGCATTCCTCGCAGAGTAGAAGCGTTATTCAGACCGATCGATCGAGGGAGGTGTCATACTGTATTAGGACAATAATCACCCCTTATCTCTCCCTCCCCCAGTTGTGACTATGTTTAGCATCAAGTTTGATGACTGGGAAAACAGAAATAGCTGGTTTACATTGTCCACGCTTTCTGACTATAGGTTTGATTTGTTTTTTAATTTCGCGCAAAGCTACACGAGGGCTATCTGCGCTAGCCGTCCCTAATTTAGCAGTGTAAGACTAGAGGGAAGGCAGCTAGTCATCACCACCCACCGCCAACTCTTGGGCTACTATTTTACCAACGAATAGTGGGATTGACCGTGACATTATAACGCCCCCCCCCCCACGACTGAAGGGGCGAGCATGTTTGGTGGGACGGGGAATTCGATCACGCGCCCCGCAGATTGCGAGTCGAGCGCCCTAACCACCTGGCGGGCCATTAATAAACTACTAAAGGTATACAAAAATTAGTTTTAAATAAATGTGGAAGTGAAATTTGAAGGTTAGTATTACCAAATGTACTTCAATCAGTGACATATTGTAAAACAAATAAGATAGTTTGTAAAAACACCACCAGAGGGATTTATGTTCCTGTTGTACACAAATTCGTAGAATATTATTTTATTTTCCAAATTCTGTATAACGATATTTACTCATCCTTAGAAGGTCAGTTAAATGGATAAAATAAACAATGTGTTTTACATATTTTATTGTGTTACTAGACACTACATCAGTATATTTCTCGTATCATCTCTAAATTATTTCTGATATTTCTGTACAACAATAAAACTTGTAATCACCGATTTTATTTTGAATATTTACAACAATGAATGGTAACAATAAACTTATAATCACCGATTTTATTTTGAATACTTACAACAATGAATGGTAACAATAAACTTATAATCACCGATTTTAGTTTGAATATTTACAACAATGAATGGTAACAATAAAACTTATAATTACCGATTTAGTTGGAATATTTACAACAATGAATGGTAACAATAAACTTATAATCACCGATTTTAGTTTTGAATATTTACAACAATGAATGGTAACAATAAACTTATAATCACCGATTTTAGTTGGAATATTTACAACAATGAATGGTAACAATAAACTTATAATCACCGATTTTATTTTGAATATTTACAACAATGAATGGTAACAATAAAATTTATAATCACCGATTTTATTTTGAATATTTATAACAATGAATGGAAAGTTAAAAAAATTGATAAGAAAAAATATATATACATGTCTTTCTATCTATATATGTATATAATATATTTATGTTGTACATATAACTACATAATTATTGAAACATTTTGACTTAATGTCGAGTATAATGAACTTCAAGACTAGATACATGATTTCTAATTTACTTTTCACTAAATGGTCATTGAAATTCTAAACTACTAGTTGACAAGGTTGTTGTTGTTTTTTTCACTTGTTTTAAGTTGCTCTTCAATTACTGACAGGTGCGAGTGTGAGATCTCGAAGTCCTTTTGTATTTAACATCCCTTGGTCTTACTACAGAACGATGGTTGTTTAAATTTTTCTTGAACTGTTTATTCGAACCTCTTTCCCCTATATCCGTAAGCCTTTCGTAACTACCGTGTAGCATATATCTTCTTCGGAAAAGAATTCCTGCCAGTTCATCCTTTTCAGAACCATCGATTTCGGTTGTCTGGTGATTACCCGGGATCGAGCCTGTATCGGGTGAACATTTTTCCTGTTCACTTTGAAACTGATGTTCTGATGATTGGGCACTTTGAGCGAGGTGAGGTTTTCCCAGGTTTACTTTGCAGTTAGCCTTTTCTGAATCAAGATTAGTGAACGATACGGGATCAGAAGGTAGGTTTTGTACATTTAATTCGTTATTTTTACAATTCAGTCTATCAAGGATTTCGTTAAAATGGGTACAGCTGTCTTTCTCAACTGTATTTAAGTCTTCTTGTACTTGCTGAACATTTAGATTTGTTGGTAAAGAGTTATTCTTGTCGCCCTCTGGATTTCGGGTCTTCCAGTAATTCAGCTCGCGCAGAGTCTCTTGTATCAAACGGTCTTTTTCATAGAGCTGGTCAAGAATTTCTTTCTGCTCTTTTCTAAACTCGCCTTCTATGAAAAGTAAACTAGAAATTAATTTTTTTAGTATACAGCCTCTCTCGCAACGGAGACTGAAAATAAGTTCATTCTGTTCCTTCAGCTGTGTTCTTAAGGAAAATACCGCCTGATTGGCCTTCAAAGACTGTTGTTTCATCAAAGCTATCGTGTCTTTCAGAACTGTTTCCATTACAGCAAGCTTCAGTTTTAGCATTTTAACTTGGTCAGCCTGTCGGAGGAAAATATAAACTATAATGAAGTAGTAATAGAAGATAAAAAAAGGGGGGGGGGAGTGAAGCAGAGTGAAATAAAATAATTTGGAATATACTTCGCAGGGATATTAATGTAACAAAAAATCCAGGAAAACAAAACAACAACAAGAAAATGTTAGGCGAGTTTTGATTGGTTGTTTGATTTTTGTAGAGCACAGAGTTACACAATGTGTCATCTGCGCTATGCCCACCACGGTTATCGAAACCCAGTTTTCACCGTTAGAAACCCTCAGACTTGCTGTTCCACTTTGGGTGGGTGGGGGTGTAGGGTAGAGCGAGTTTTACTCGAAAGCATGCATTGTCAAGAACTGTAGGACGAATAACGAACTTTACTGAACATTTTGTAAAAATTCCAACATCTCACATACGATAGTACTTTTTTACTGTGTCATCCACCATGTTATCTTTATATTTTTTTACTGTGTCATCCACCATGTTATCTTTATAATTTTTACTGTGTCATCCACCATGTAATCTTTATAATGTTTTACTGTTTATAAAGATAACATGGTGGATGACGTAAAAAAAATATAAAGATAACATGGTGGATGACACAGTAAAAATTATATTTAGTGTCATACCACAGTAAAAAAAAAATAAAATTATAAAGAAAACATGGTGAATGGCACTAAAAAATTATAAAGATAACATGGTGGATGACACAGTAAAAAATTATAAAGGCACTAAGTTTACGAACTCAAACTTTAATGAAGAATTCGACTTTTTTTTTATTACTTTCACGTTTTGACTAAAAAAGATTGTTTGTTTGTTTGTTGTTAATCCCTAAATTACACAATGGGCTACCTGGGTTCTGTCTATCCAAATTTTTGGCGTTATAAATCTTCAGACTTACAGCCGAGCCGCTGAGGGCGATTAAACGGGCTGAGAAGAGGGTTTATTGGTTTGTTTGAATTTCACGCAAAGCTACACGAGGGCTATCTGCGCTAGCCGTCCATAATATAGCAGCGAAAGACTAGAGATATGGAGCTATTCATCACCACCCACCGCCAACTCTTGACCTACTCTTGTACCAACGAATAGTGGGATTGACCGTCACATTATAATGTCTCCACGCCTGAAAGAGCGAGTATGTTTGTTGTGACGGGGATTGCTAGTCGAGCGCCTTAACCACCTGGCCATGTCGGGCCCGCTTAAAGAAAAGTGAAATACTGCCAGAAAACATGTTTATTAGATGACGTTTCGGGTTACCGCTTCGGCGTTAACAGTAGGAACAAACCTTAAAGAGGTGAAATACTGCTTGTAAAATATCTTTATTAGGTGACGTTTCGGGATACCGTTTCGGTGTTAACAATAGGAACAAACCTTAAATAAAAGTGAAATATTGATTATAATTTTTTTCTATTTGGTGACGTTTCGGGCTACCGTTTCGACGTTAACGGTAGGAACAAACCTTAAAGAATAGTGAAACACAACTAGTAAAATCTTTTTTAATAGATGACGTTTCGGCCAACATTGTCTCATTTCCTACTTTACAGGTTTAGTTTCTTGCATGGCTAATAAAAAACTCCAAAGAATTCGGACAATATCTATATGTAGATTAAAAAGTTAAAAAAAACAACACATTAATAAAAAAAACCCTTCAATCTTATATTACTTCAATATTCAGAATTACGAAACAATAACAACAATAATAATAAAACAGTAGATAACGCTCAGCCTCGTGTATTGATTCTACACCTTTTTTCTATCAAACCGTTCATTATTTCATTTCAAAAATAATCACTTTTGTATTGTGTAAAATTTGATTGAAATCTTATTATAACTCACATAATTTGTCACGTGGAGAGAAACGCGGAAGGTGAAATTGACGACCATAGTATCGCTACGTGATGGTTGATAGCCGAAACCAATTAACTTCATTGTACGAGTACTAAAAACGTGGAGCGTTTTGTACAACAACAACATTAATAGGGCAGCCCTCCAGCCCTTAAATGAGCCAATCATTACGGGCATAAAGGGAGAGATCTGATTGCTTTTGTCTTGGCGATGATGGAGTAGATCTGATCTGACAGATCTTCATCTTGCATAACTTAGCATTGATATAGTGTTTTAGGTGATGAGGTCATATCTGTTCTTGTACCTACATAATGCTGTGTTGATAAGCTGATCACATGCGCGTCATGAGGATGAGAACGGAACACGTACCCCCCCCCCCTTTTTTTTTTAAGAACTTAAACGGAAACAATAAAAAGGTCTTTTTGGCTTTTTTTTTGAAATATGTTTATTTGGCCATTTCAAGTGTCCACCGGAAGAATTTCAGGATAAAAGAGTGGTCATTTCTTAACCCATTGACAATATTGACCTGTACCTCTACTAAGAACAGTTGAGAGAAGGAGTGGGTGACCTATAATAACATCCGTGAAACCTGCATGCAGCACTTGATACCGCTATAATGATGGGTGGGGTAGAGAGTATTTCCAAACAAAGCTATAGTGTTAAAAGTCGAACATCTACTTACACACCTAGTCACGTGACTAGGCATGTTGACCAGCTAAATACTGAACAGAGGTGGGTGGGGCACTCTCGTTTTAGGTGAACTTATTTGTTCCACGTTTGATAGCAAATGAAAGGGATAACGATATATATGTGTGGGCCCCATGGGTGCGTTCTAAGATTGACGTGTTAAGTCCCACTATTTGATTAGAGTAGCCCCAGAGTTGACGGTGGGTGGTGTTGATGTTGACTAACTCCATACCCTTTGGTCTATCGTTTCGATATTAGGGACAGATAGCCCTCGAGTAGTTTTGAACGAAATTCAACAAACGAACAGGCAACAAAGATTTTATGTGCCAGAAAGAGTACATATATTTTTTTTTATCAACCAGCATTATTACCAACCCTGCCCGAATTTGGATGTCGGGAACAAAGCAAGTATAAGTTGACCCGAGTTAACCTAATTTTGTCGATAAAAGACCAGTTTTTAGCGCAATAATCTCTAATGTTGAACGAAATCAACCCGAAACGAGTGGTCATTACTTAATATCACAAAATTACTTTGGAATTTATTTAATCACGTGATCTAGTTGGGCGAATCTCATTTCCTCATTTTATATTTGAAATTTTTTGTCTGTCTGTTTGTTTGTTCTTAAGCACAGGACATCGAAATTAGGTTTTTAGCTCGTTTGTTTCGTTGTAGTTAAACACAAAACTACACAATGGGCTATCTGTGCTCTGGCCAACACGGGTATCGAAACCAGGTTTCTAGCGTTATAAGCCTTAAGTCTTAACGCTAATCCACCGGGGGAGCATTTCACATTTATCATTCCTGAAAAAAAATCTTGGGTCACACGTCAACTCTAGAGAACAAGCGGGTTCGAATCCCCGTCACACCGAACATGCTCGCCCTTTCAGCCGTGGGGGCGTTATGATGTCACGGTCAATCCCACTATTCGTTGGTAAAAGAGTAGCCCAAGAGTTGGCGGTGGGTGGTGAT